CCTTTAAGTAATAGCATGAGAGGAGTTAAGAAATACATCATATCAATGGTAAATTTGACCACTTCAGAAATATAACTATTCAACCAAAACCCTAACTGAATTTCCTTAAAACCAAAATGTATAAAGAATCTGTACACTGCTCTAGTAAAATAAATTGATAATCTCCATATTGTAGGAATTCTCTATTCACTACATGTATTAAATTGAGTTGATTCTAGATGCCAAACTAGGGGAGCCAATACAGTAATACGTAAATTATGCACATAAAATCAATACATGCAATTTTCAACAATCTTGTTTGCTCTATACTATCAGATAATCAAATCTAGATTCAAAATTTTATAATATTTCCATAATATGGTAAAGTCATTTTCTGCACAAGAAAAAAAGCCCCTCTAGGTAGTTTGGGAAAGTCACTGCTACCAGAGAATAAAACATAAATTAAGATGAGATTATAATGAAAGTAGAGATGTGATATTTTCTGGTGGCAAAAGACCTCCCTTCCTCCCATTCCCACTCATCTATCTTCTGTAAATAAAGCTTAGCAATCAATGCTATTAAATCAATTCTAATTCATTCTAGTAAAATATTTTGGCATTTACAAAAACTCCACCCCCCCCCCCAATCCCTCTGTAAACATGTTAACTTATGTCTTCACCCCAAGTTTTTCTAAACATTTTAGTCCTTTTTCTTCATATTCTTGTCTTGACATCCAGAATGAGTCTTTATCTTTCATAATATCAGCTAAGACAGCACCACCTAAAAACACCATGTGTTTACGCCGTGGAGGGTCTTCTATCCTTATTTTGAATTTCTGTCAAAGAAAACAAAAACAGAATCATTAATTAAGGCCAACATTCCTAGGTAACATCAAATAGAATAATGAACTCTCTGGCACTTTTCAAGACCAAAGGTGTATATAGTTATAAAATAAAATAAAAAATCATTGTTTCTTTTTTCCAGAGAAAAATGTTTTCTATCATTTTAATAAAACTGTATTACCGTTAAAATCCTATTATAAACCGGGGTTTATATTACAATGTATCAAATAAAAACAGCTCAAGTTCGGGGTGCGGTTTCTATTACGTACATATTGCAATCACTAAATGGGCATGGTAATCCGGCCATGCTTCGGCTCACAAGTGAATACCTTACTTGTTTTCGAACTGTTGAAATTGTTGATCAGTAGTGATTATAACAACGCACGAAAAATAAATACGTTGAATTGTTATCAAATGCAAGTAAAATTCAACTTAGTTTCACCGTAAGCGAATTATTTCAGTCACATGTAAACGATCGAAGCGATACGACTTCCACTATGTAGTTTGAATGCACACGAGACATTACTTTACCGGGAAGGTCAAGTCGCTAATTAACCAATCAAAATGCTAGATGGTGCCCACGTGTTCAAATTACCTTAGTTCATTTAA